CTGTCTCTGGTGAAGCCTCTCGCCGCCCCTGAGCCTCTGGCCTGTACCCCAGTTCTGTATGTACAAATAAATAAATCTTAAAAAAAAGAAAAGATAGAGTGGGGAACAAAATAGGCAGATTTTCTGAAATACACTCTTGAGAAGAGTAGCGGGAATGACATGAGAGGTCTGCCACACCATGTGGATCACCTCCTGGGCTAGGAATCAAATTTGTGTTTCAGTGGCTGTTGATAGCTTCATAGTACTGCACTTTAACCTGTTGCACCACCAGAGAGGGTCCGGTTTAACTAGTAGATTGCCTTTACTTTAGTTTTGGTTAGTTTTGGTAAAGTAATTTACCAGTTCTGGTAAAGCAATGTTATTCATTCTCTAGGAATTGATTTTTGAATTTTTTAAATGAAAATGCTATGGGATATCTTTATCCTTAAGAAGATCCAAAGAGTTTAAATATATACCAATCAAAATAGTACCTTAATCTAACCTATTTCCACAACATAACTGATACTTTATTATTTTAGGATTCAAAAGAAATTGTGTTCCATGTTTTATACCTTCCCTATTACCAGTGGTTGAATGACTGGGGTTGGGACAGGAATAGATAGATATGCATGACTAAATATAATTAAAGTTACTGTTAGAGACTTGACAGGATTAAAGGCATATAAAGGAAAACTTTGAACCTCAAATTTGGGAGTATTACCTGAAGCCCTGAAATTGTCTATTTGTGTCTACCCAACACAGTATCATCTGTTGAATTGGCTCCTAGTAATGGGTATGTGTATGGCCATACTTTGGATGTTTGGCTAATGTTTTATAATGTAATCTTGTGGCATTATTGATTCCATTATTTAATGATGAAAATCTTTGAATTTGTTAGGAAAAAATAAAGAAAACCTGAATAGCAATGTACACTGCTAACTTTACTTAATTGTCAAGTTCTGGATTTATTAAGGGTTATACAGTATATTTAAATAATCTCCAGGTTTATGGAAAACTTGATTAAAATAAGTTCTGTTTTATAGCATCTTGGTCACAAAACATTTCGTACCAGCTTTAATATTTTGGCATTTTATTTCTTTGCACTTGATAGGAGTTACTGAATTACTATTATAATGACATTTTAAGTCAAAATTTACATGCTGGAATTGTAGAAAATAATACGCTGTACTTTCAAAAAAAGTTTTCATTATAAAAAACATTAATTAGCATGGAAACCCTGCTTACTGAATATCATTAATTCATGTGGTATACTTAGTATTTTAAGTCTTTCCCATGTTTCAGCTTGATATAGTGATGTTTTTTGCCTACTTGAAAATAAAGGGAATAGGAAGAGTGGAGAAGAGATAATTTCATTAAAATTCTGTTGTTCTATGTGAACTAAATTTGCATAAATCTGTCAGTTTCCAATGAGTAACACTGGATGTTGATGATTATTCTGTAACCCTAGATTGTCATAATGCTTTTGCCTTGCTTGTGAGGCCACCGACAGAGCAGGCAAATGTGCTGCTCAGTTTCCAGATGACATCAGAAGAACTTCCAAAAGAAAATTGGCTAAAAATGCTGTGTCGACATGTAGCCAACACCATTTGTAAAGCAGATACGGTAAGTTCTTAAACTCATATTAAAATAAAAGTTTAAACTTTCTGGCAATGCTCTCTGATTGAGAGCGTTTTTAGTGTGAATTGTTAGTAATGGATGTAGGAGATTTCTGATTGTGTGTGTATTGAGGAAAACTTGAATTCTCACAGATAGGCCCTCATAATCTTCTAGCTCCTCTAGCTCTAAATTAGTTAGGCTTTTGTGACTTGCAGTGTAATTTGTGATTTTTCATTAGTGCTTTTTGACCTGACTATTTGTAAAATAATAGGTATTGTATTCTGTTCTTTTATCTTATTGAATGTAGTCGGTGAGTTGTAAATTGTTTTCCTTGTTAGATAAATTTTCAAAAATTATTGAAGTTAGTTGAAATCAGATAGTTTATATTATTAGATCATAGATGAGATATGCACCCCTAAAGAAATAATTTGGTTTCTTCATCTGTATGCAATAGATAAATATAGACTACTTCCATCTACCACAAGTCATATAAAGAACAATGTTTTGATAGATGACCTTTTTTACTACAGTAGTACTTTATTATTGAGATTACTTTGGACATTTTTGTAGGAATAAAATATTTGTTTTATCATAGTTAAGTCTGAACTTAAAAGACTATATTAAAATTATTGTGTTTTTTAAAGAAGATGGTACTTGGTTAGAATCCTCTACCTAAGGTCTTTGTTACATAAAAAAGGCTTGTGGAGGGAAATACAATGCTGGTGAATGCAACAGAATTCTGGCTATAAAAATGTTGAAAACAGCTTTGTTATAAAGCTTACAAAATTCATAGTCTTTTATAAGTTTAAGTATTATATAAAATGGATCCATATATAAACTATTTGGAAATTACTCCTGAATTTATCATGACATCAGATTAAATGGCTAATGCAGTCCTTTCCAAATTTATAACCATAGTACTGAAGTGTGAGTGGTGGAAATTTTCTTTCAAACACTATTACATAACTAGCCACAAGATCATCAAGTCTTAGAACTGAAATATAAACGACTGATACAAAAATTTCACAGGGTAAAATTTACCACAAGATGGCAGCAAACATTTAACTATGTCTTAATTTATACTACCTTATTTATTTACTTTTATTGAAATAACATAAGTTTCAGGTGTACATCATTGTGACTTAGCATGTTGTACTTACAGTTAAAAGTCCACTTCTCTTTTTCATTAGACCTTTGTCCCCTTTACCCAATTTTGTTTTCTACTGATTTAAACCACACCAAAATTTTCAAGTTGTGTAAATTTGTTCTTAAGAAACGCTTGGGCCCTCCCTGGTGGCGCAGCGGGTTAAAGCACTGCACTGAGAAGCTAAAGCCACTTCCGCATGAGTTCGATTCCCGCCTGCCCCGGAGGTGACCACATGGCGTGGCAGACCTCTCCTGGCCTGCCCACTGCTCCCCTCAGCAGTGTACTTCGTCGACCTGCCTGTTCTGCTCCCCACTCTGTCTCTGGTGAAGCCTCTCACCGCCCCTGAGCCTCTGGCCTGTACTCCAGTCTGTATGTACAAATAAATAAATCTTTAAAAAAAAAAAAAGAAAAGAAACGCTTGTAGATTCAAGTATTCAGTGACTTCATTTTAGCCCTTTCTCATATTAAAGTAATACACATGTAAATTATTGAAAGTATTTCTTATTTGACATTTGTAATATTGAAAATGTTTGTGTATGTATATGTGTATATGTACATACGTATGTGTGTGTGTATATGCAAACACGAACACACATACCAAAGATATAAAAGATAAAAAAATCTCTTTAAGTCTTTGAAGTTGTTGTTTTATTATATACTTTTTTGATACCCTAAATAGTTGGAACTTACATAAGAGTACAATAAACACAACTTATTTATTCTGAGGTATTTCATTCATTATGCCCATTTGTAAATGACTAAAAATTAAAATTTCAGATTGAAAAAACATAGTCTAACTTATCATCTGACATGCAAAACTAAACCCAAAAACCTAAAGCAGACATTAGAATCCAGGAATTTTTATTCTTGATTAAATCTTCTTGATAATCTCCCAGACCCTCTCTGCATACACAAATAAAATGTCAAATATGCCATTTAAAGATCAAAGATTAAATTTCTTGAAAATTTTATCTCCTTTTTGGTTGCTTGCTGACATGTAACTTTTGATTGAACCGTCCATAAGTTGTCTGAGGTCACATGAAAGTTTTGATAAAGACCTATTACAGATTTATAACTTCTAATATAAAAAGTATGATTTTATTAACAAATGAATTTAAGCAGTGTTACTCCCTTCCTATCTGTGAGTTTGGATACTAGGGGAAAAGGAAACTTTAAAGAAAGAAGGTCAGATAGCTTATTTGTCAGAATGAGTTAAGAGGTCAGAAGTGATAGAATATTTTCTGTGAATTAAAACTCATGAATAGATCTTTGGAATTTGTATCTGAGGGTCAATTACTCCTGAAATTAATATTCTGTATCTAAATGAGAGAAATTATTACTTTCTAATATCATTTTTTAAAAACAAAACTCATGTTTTTATTTTTGTAATTGCTTTCACCAAACCTGTGCCTGTCATCAATCTGCCTCTGTCCCACACCCCTCTACACCCTTGCCCTCATTCCCTCTGGCAACCATTGTCTTTTTTTCTGAGTTCAAATTTCTTCTATTGTTTATGTATGATTAAGGTTTTTTCTTTTTTGGAATTTATATTCTGCAGAAGAGTAAAGCCATTTGAAATTAGTCTCACTTTTTTGGCTAATTTCACTCAGGCTAATCCTTTAGGGTATATATCCATTTATACCAAATGCTGTCATTTCATCTTTCTTTATAGCTGTGTAATGTTCTGCATATATGCTCCACAGTTTCTCAATCCATTCTTTTGTTGACGGGCACTTGGGTTGATTCCTTGATTTGGCATTTGTAAACAGTACTGTGTACATAGATGTAGATAGATATTTTGTGTTAAGTTTTTTTTTGTACAGATTTATTTATTAGTGCATACAGAACTGGGGTACAGGCCAGAGGCTCAGGGGTGGCGAGAGGCTTCACCAGAGACAGAGTGGGGAGCAGAACAGGCAGATCTACGAAGTACACTGCTGAGGGGAGCAGTGGGCAGGTCAGGAGAGGTCTGCCATACCATGTGGATCACCTCCGGGGCAGGCGGGAATCGAACTCATGCAGAAGTGGCTTTAGTTTCTCAGTGCAGTGTTTTAACCCGCTGCGCCACCAGGGAGGGCCAAGTTTCACAGTTGTAATTATACAAGTTCTTCACCACCTTCATTTGATTTATTTCCAGGTATTTCCTTCTTTTGGGGGTGAGTGTAAATGGAACTGTATTCCTTGATTCCCTTTCTTCTGAGGTATTTTCACATATAGAGATGCCACTGACTCTTGTGATTTGTTTTTTGTATCTTGACACCTGACTGTATTTATTATTTCTAGAAGTTCTTTTGTAGAATCTTTTGGTTTCTCTGTGTATAGTGAAAGTCTCACTTTTTTTCTTCGTTTTACTTGTCTAGTTGTTTACTTGTCTAGAACTTCCAGAACTATGATGAATAACTGTGGTGATAGGGGACATTTACTGTCTTGTTTCTGATCATAGTAGAAATGCTTTGAGCTTTTTACTATTGAGTTATGATATGGTTAGTTTTGTCACATATGGCTTTTTTTAATATTTAGATAAGATTCCATGTATTTCCTTTTTTTTTAAGTTTTTAATCGTAAGTGGATATCGGATCATGTAATACACTTTTGTGGCCTCTATTGATGTGATCTTGTAAAGTTTGTCTTTCTTTTTGTTGATCTGATGGATGACATTGATAGGTTTACTAACTTGATCATGGTGGATGTAGCTAACTTGACAGGACCTCGAGTGTACCTGTCTGCCCTGGCTGATGTTGTGCATGGGTGAGCACACTCCCCAGTAAGGCCATCAAATAAGCCAGCAGAGCACAGTGTACTCTGTCTTGCAAACAGCTGCAGCCCACTACCTTGTTTTTAGCAGAAACTTCAAGAAGCCCCAGTCCTGCACAAATATGCACCCCACCTCCGTGTTGGGTACATTTCCTGTTTTTCCCCACACGTACAAGGCATATCAGACCGTATGTATACCCATGGATGGTTCTAATAAACAGACTCCGGGCTCCAGACTCCTGTATCCCCTTCTTGCGGCTCCGAGTCTCCTACGTTTGCACGAACATAGTAGTTAGCACATCCCTTGGTGGGTAGCAACAACAGGTGGATAATTCTCTTGATATGTTGCTGTATTCAGTTTGCTATGATTTGAGAATTTTTGCATCTGTATTCATCAGAGATAATGGTCTATAATTTTCTTTTTTGGACTGTCTTTGTTTGGTATGGAATCAGGCTAATGTAGGATGTATCAGGGAGATTTTCTCCCTCTTCAATTTATTTAGAGTGTGTAAGATAGGTATTAGATCTTCCTAATAGTTTGGATAGAATTCACTGATAAAGCCATCTGCTTCTGAGTTTTTGTTTTGGGGAAGGCTTTTATTACCCTTTCAATTTCAGGACTATGATTGGACTATTTAAGATGGCTGTTTCATCCTGGTTCAAACTTGGAAGGTTATATGAGTCCAAGAACTTGTCCATTTCTTCTAAGTTGTCTAATTCGTTTGCATACAGACTTTTATAATTTTATGATCCTGTGTGTTTCTGTAGCAAATTTTAAATGGATATTTTGTAAATAATGTTTTGATGGCTGGAATATTTAGTTTTATATTTATCCTATGGTTTTTACTCTAAATTGTACCTAGACAAAAACAATCAAATAAGTATATGCCCCTCTCCCATTAGTCATCAGTTGTGTCACATTAATATTTCATAGGGATTTTTCCAGAAATACTACCTGCAGACATGAAGTTTCTTACTAGATTTACTTGTTTGTAATTATACATATAATTAAATATATATGTTAAATATATATTATATAGCTTAATGCATATTAAACAATAAATTAATATACATTCAATTATATATCAAATAAAACATGTACTATATTTTGATGTATGATCAACTTTATATATTTTGACTATATATCTATATATATTATATAATTACATTCACATATGATTATATTATGTGTGCCATATAATTATATATTATATATGATGTATATTGCATATTTTAAAAAATTTTATGTGACCCGATCTCACTAGTCTTCAGTGGTGCCACATTAATACTATATAGCAATTTTTTTAGAAATACTACCTACAGACGTGCAATTTCTTACTAGATTTAGCTGTATGTAATTATATATATGTGTAATTAAAAATATACATATACACACATATATAATGATACTAGAAATGAAATATTTTTACTGTAAGTTTTCTAAGTTATTTTCATATATAGGTGAACCTTTGATAGATGTGTGTTAATTTTGTAATCAGTTACTTTTAATTGTCATGTTGCTTCTAATAGCTTTTTATGAAATTTTATTTTTCAGTCTTTAAAAAATACCTTGAACTGACCAATTGAGAATGAACATTGATAAATGTCTTGGTAGTTTAAAAGTAAAACATAGTTAAGGAAAATAAATTTAAATGTCGATATAACTTTTTAAAAACTTACCTCTGTGACTAGGAATGTAAAATTCCTATCAAATACTAGGCTTTATATATATATATATGGGGTTAGATAATATCAACTACGAGTCATTTAGCAAGTTGATCAAGTAGAGAGCTGATAAGATAGGTTTTGTTGTTATAATGATATAAGAGAAACTTTAGAAAAACTGAGACTATCCAGGAAGTTAGTCATGAAAAGTCAAAGCAAGCATTTGTAATTGTAGGGTATTAGGATGATTTTACACCGAGGTTTTTTTCCAGATTGCTTTAGTGTACATGGTACTTGTGATGAATTTTTTTATTTGAGTGCTTATTTTACACTATACTTAAATTGGTAGATTTCAAGGTAGAAATATATTAATCACATCAAAAATTGGAAGTAGTTTCATTTATATTTATCATATTTGTATAAGTGTTTAACAATTGGTTTTAGAAACAGTTGTATGCTTTTATTTATTTAAAAATAATTGAAATGTGTTGCTTTTCAACAGGAGAATCTTATTTACACTGCTGACCCAGAATCCTTTGAAGTTAATACAAAAGACATGGACAGTACATTAAGTAGAGCATCTAGAGCAATAAAAAAGACTTCCAAAAAAGTAAGTTTTAGTGAAAATATTTAACATTGTCCCCAAGATGTATTTCGCAGAGTATGTTAAAAGAAATATTACCATAGATGCTATTATATGAATAAGCTATAAAAGAAAACCTTTATTTGATTCTAGAATGTTAGCCCATGAAACTAATAGATCTTCTTCAATGAATTATTTGGTACAGAAATCATAACGCCTTATCCCTCCCATCGCGTAACATTGATAATTATGTGAGCTCCATTTCTCTAGAAATGTCTTGATGCTATTTAGATACCAATATGTGTGTATTCATTTTAAATTTGCTCAGTATTTTTCAACAAAAGGCAGAGGACCTGGACTCTATTTCTAACCTAATTGTGTTTCAGTCTTTTAATTATGAATGTAACTTCCCTACTTACCTTGTCAGACTTGTTGAAGACTATGTAAGAATGTTGATAATAGGGCTTTTTTTTTTTTTTTTTTAACAAATAGAACTGAACTTTAATATTCTAGGGTAAATATTCAATCTTATTGTTAAGATTTACAAGGTTTGGTTTGGTTTTGCCTTTGAGGGAAAAATTGTCTTTGTACCTATTGGCATTTAACATGTGTAAAGCATCATAGATAAGCAAATTAAGTGATGATACAAATGAAACTCTTCACTTTTCAATAAAAAAATCAAAGTTCAAGTTACTTTGGTTAAAGATGACACAAATGAATTTTTAGCATTGTCAGACAAGGACCTCCTAGGCTTCCCCCCACTTTCTTTCCCGTTAAACTGTAGTACTCTCTGAAATATGATGAAATAGTCTACAGTGTACTGTTATCTCGCTGTTTTGTCTAAAGAGATTCATCTTCTGCTACATACTATTTGTATAAACACATTTGATATGTATTTAGTTTTATATATATAATCTTTTTATCAGTTATAGTAGATTTATATAGGCTTAACTGTAACTCTTTTTAACACTAGGTTACAAGAGCATTCTCTTTCTCCAAAACACCAAAAAGAGCTCTAAGGAGAGCTCTTATGACATCCCAAAGCTCAGTGGAGGGAAGAAGTCCTCTCAGCAATGATAAGCATGTAATGAGTCGTTTGTCTAGCACATCATCATTAGCAGTAAGTGACTTTGATTTAACGGGATAAATGACTTACATTTATGAAGTTGGCAAAAAAAATTTTAACTTTTAAAGATGGTAATCTCATTATCTCCATCTGTTTTTACATATCTTAATTTCTCTTCATTGGATAAAGCAACTGAGATAATCTAACTTAATTGATTAATGATAAACTCAATGTGTACTTTATTTAAATTATATTGGAATTGAGATCTGTTCTTAACTTTCTCAGAAACATGTTTCAGTTTGGCTTGTCCTTTACTAATATAAATAGTAGTAGTTATATATATACAGATTGATTCCAATAATATAAGAGACTAAGTTCTCTTCCTTTTTACTATTTTTAAAATAAATTATTTATACTTATAGAACTTGGGTACAGGCCAGAGATATGGTGAGTGAGAGGTTTCAACCAGAGACAGAGTGGTGAACAGAACAGGCAGATCTACTGAAATACGCTGCTAAGAGAGCAGCATGCGGGTCAGGAGAGGTCTGCCATGCCACATGGGTCAACTCCCTAGCTGGGGATCAAACTCGTGCTGTGGTGGCTTTTGAGAGTATTGTGCCACTAGGGAGAGCCCACCTTTTTACTATTTTATAATAAATACAGTATAAATTCTGAAGCTGTAAATTTGAGAAGATGATGTACAATTTTTTTATTAAGATTTATTATTTATGCATACAGGAATTGTGGTATAGGCTAGGCATGTTAGTGGTTAAGAGGAGTCACCAGAGTGAGGAGCAGAACAGGTGGATTGACTGAAGCACAGTACTGAGGGGAGCCGTGGGTAAAGACAGGAGAGGTTTGATATGCCACCTGCGTTAACTTTGGGGGTTTGGAAGGTGGAACTCATGCTGCATTAGTGGGAAGTAACTTGATAATGCTGACACTTTAACCCCTGGTCTACCAGGGAGGCCTGATACAGGTTCTTAATTTGTTTGTCTATTTTTCAATGTTTCTTGGTTGTTTGTCCTTCGGCAAGCTTATTTTTTCTTCTTCCAGTTAAAACAGAAAAGAGCTTAGTAGTATTCACCCTATAATATTATTGTAGGATTAAGTAAGATGATGTCTAAATAAACATGAACACACACACATGATGTGATCATATACTCAAAGGCAGTTTGAGTATGTAACATTTGCACTTATGTGTTAACCTCCTGCCTTATGCTCTAATTTCTGCAAATGTTAATGATTGCTTTTTTTTTTTTTAAAGCATTTATTTATGCATACAAGGACTGAGGTACAGAATGGCGGTACAGGGTGTGAGAAGATTCACCAGGACATAGAGGGGAGTAGAACAGGCAGATCTACTGAAATACACTGCTGAGGAGAGCAGTAAGTGTGACAGGAGAGGTCAGCTGTGCCATGTAGGTCAATTCTCTGGCTAGGGAGATCAAACTCATGCTTGCAGTGGCTGCTGATAGCTTCATAAGTGCTGAGACTAAACCATTGGCTCTCCCAGGCAGAGCCCAAATATTAAAGATCTCTTAATTTTGCCATCCTAAATAAACATGAATCTAAAGTGGTAATAATAAAGATTAAGTAAGTTAAATATGGAAAGAACTGACAATAGCTCCTTGTACTTAGTAAATGCTTTAGTGTTTTATAAGTGGTCATTTTTTAATATATGACACAGAAGCAAGTCATATAATGCTCTAACTTTAAGTTAATTATTTAATACAGCAAAATGCTGGGGGTGAATCTATGAGTATAGATTATACAGATAATTGATCTAGATTAACCTTAACCAAATGGGAGAGAAGTCTTAGTTATTTATAGTATAAATATATACAAAGAATTCTGATGTATTTAAAGTTGACAAAATGCAATAAGCATCCACTGATTAAAATGAAATTATTAGTTTTTTAAAGCTGGTGTACATTTCTTGTTTATTTCCTGATCTATATCTACATCATTGCTTTTTTTTTTTTTTTTTTTATTTATTCATACAGAACTGGGGTACAGGCCAGAGATGCGGAGGGTGAGAGGATTCACCAGAGACAGAGTGGGGTGCAGAACAGGCAGATCGACAAAGTACACTGTTGAGGGGAGCAGCGGGCGGGTCAGTAGAGGTCTGCCACACCATGTGGCTCTCCTCCGGGGCAGGTGGGGATGGAACTCATGCGGAAGTGGCTTTAGCTTCTTAGTGCTGTGCTTTAACCCGCTGTGCCACCAGGGAGGGCCCCATCATTGTTTTTTAAATGAGGCCTTTTACACTTTTTTTTAGAAAATGTAGGTTATTTATGATTTTGTTACTTTTATACAGACAATATGCATAAGAAGTACCTAGAAATCTTCAAGACATTCATGTCCTCTTCTCAATTGCTTATTTCTGTTCTAACAGATTGTGTTTCCACAAGCAATATAATTGGATTTACTAAGCATGTTCATGTCCAGTGCTCAGACTCTACTGGTGGGCGCTCGCAAAACTCCTGGTGTTGGTCTATATGTCATTCTGCTTCACTTGCTAGTTATTCAGAGATATTAGAAGGAAATACTGATTTTTCAAATTTCAAAAAAAGTTCTATCCAAGTCATCTTTGACATTCATGAAGAAATAGCTGTTCCAACCAGTAATGGAAACAAGCTTCATAACGTTTAATGTGAGCTTATTAGCTGTTTGAAATTTATATATAAGGAAATAGAAAGTATCCTTTCTCCACAGAATTACTTATTAGGTTAAATGGGTGGGGACTGTGAAGTCATCATTTTATAACTGCCTTGAATTTGCAGCTTAGACATAATAGTTTCCTTGAGGAATTGGCACATAAAAATACTTCTGCAGGCTAATTTACTCTTAAGTCCAGAAAAAGTCAGTCCCATTAACCATTTTCTTACCTAGGAAAATGATTATTTTAAAGGATAGTAGTAATTGTCATATAAAGTAGATTTATATCCCACAGCTGATTCTTAATTTTAGATTTATAGCATTTATATAAAATTTATGCTTTTAATATGGCAAATCATAAAAGTTTCACCTGAGGAAAATGTGAACTTCTATAATATCTGCTTAAATCATTGCTTTGTTATCACTTGAATGGTAATATGTTACCAGCCCAGCTCTTTAAACACTTCATTTTACTCTCTTGTTGATGAGAACTTATAGCTAACTACCTTGTTGGTTCTAACTTAAAATTACAGATAGCCATTTATGTATGTTAAATCATAGCATTCTTTGCTGTACACCCACTTTTGGGTTCTTGGTATTCGTTCGCACATTTGTACTGTTAAAAATTTGTATGTTTTACTTTGTTTGACTCTTGAACAATGCAGTCATCACTTAACAACCTAGTAGTTATTAATAGAAGTACTGCTTTTTTGCTCATTTTTTTATATGGTACAAAATTATACACATATGTACATATAGTTTGCACATAATGATAGAAAAATCTCTGTAGGGGAACATATGACTAACTTTTAGAAAATTATTTTCCATGAATTAATTTTACTCAGATTAAGAAACCAACTAGGTTTTATGTATATTGGAAAAAAAGCTTGTTTACTAATTAGTTTTTTTAAATAACCTGAAGCACTGAGTTATTAATCTTTCACCAAAGTTAGGTACCACTATGAGTAGTAAGCAAGTATTTATCCCAATTGAGTTAGTGTGTAATCTATCCATTTACTTCCTGTTTTCAGAATGATAAAATTATTAATTGTATTTCTTTCTAGCCCCCAACCTTATTTTAAATCTTTTTATTTAAGAAATTTAAAATTTTCAGATTTATTTTAATCAGTTATGGTAATTAATAAAATGTAAAGTTGACATGCAGAACTGTATGCTGTAATGTTTTAAAAGAAAAAATTAAGTAAAAATTTGTCTTTTCTTTAACAGGGTATTCCATCTCCCTCCCTTGTCAGCCTTCCTTCATTCTTTGAAAGAAGAAGTCATACTTTAAGTAGATCTACAACTCATTTGATATGAAGCTTAAAAGAGAATCTTAGTTTACAGAAATTTATAAACACCTCATATTCAAATAAGAAACTGACATAAATGGTACTTGTCATTAGCACTTGGTGGAAGTTGGAAAGAAGATAGGTAACACTATTATACTATTTGATTTTCTCCTTGAAAAGAATAAGGCTAACCTTGTACATTCTTCAGGTTGATTCATGTAAAAAGTTTATTGATTTTGATGTAATTTATCTCTTGCTCAAATCCCTCATTCAAAGACTAATAATTTAAGTTATTCATGTACTAGTAGCTTTGCAACTTTATGTGGCAAATAAATTTTATTGGTGGTTGCCAAATACTGCTGTGAATCTATTTGTGTAGTATCCACAATGAATTTTTTGAGTGACATTTTTGTTTATTTCAGCTGGTACAGAAATTAAGTGATGTTATACTACTCAATTTGATAAAAACCTGTGTACATTTCTGATTAAGTAGCATGGTCTTGTTTCAGGTATGCTGTTAAAGTAGGTTTTTAGCTTGTCCTTTGCAGTTGTATTCTCAAATGTTTTCAAGATCTGGCATGTAAATATAAAAAGATTTGCCCTTATTAATAGGAGTAACAGTCAAACAAGATTATTTCAAAGTATTTTTGCAAGTTGATCTAATGACATAAAGCTAAAAAAATGTATAGATTTTGCACAAACATGATAATTGGTATATACTTGCAGCTATTTAGAGAGAATATACTTATGGTGATTTTACCCACTTGCAAATCTTGATATGGTTCGATAATGTATGGAGTTTTATTTTGAAAGATAAGGCCATGGGTTAATTGTGGTAAAGATTGCTTATATTCTTTCTGAAATAATTCTAAAGTAAGCACTGGTTTTACTAATCTGTAAATACGTAGATATATGTGTAGGTCTTTTTTTTTTTACTGTGGTTACATAATTAAATTTAAAAGTGAAATGCATTCATCTGTTATAAAATTTTTTCAAATCCTTACTATATTTTTTCACAGTGGCTTTTTTTTTAATAATAATACAAAATAATCAACTTCTGCAGAGTAAATGCATTTTTATTTTCTATCTTTTCAGGAAGGAAGTACTGAAAATATTTGTCATTTAACAATTTTTGATTATGTGTATTATTAGAGTATGTATTTTTCTATGCCATATACATGTCATTTTTGAATAGTAAATGACCCCTTGTTATATTTTCAAAGCAGTTATATAAAGAACTTTGTAAGTAAATACTTAAAAGCCATGTATATACTATGTCTCATGTTTCAAATAATTCTAGATAAATTTTCATTGGCTAATTTAAATGCCTATATCATCCTTTTCTCTGTTGTATTTTTCTGCTTGTTTGTTGGCTTATTCCTTCCTTTAGTAATTTTTTTTTTAGCATTATCTATATAGGGCTATGTGTAGGATCTGAGTTTTAAATCTAGAATCTGCTTTAGAATGGAAGTTTTGTGCATGTGTGTGTATAACATAGTGATTTGTTTCCAAGTGTATATGGAAATATAAATTAATAATAATCAGTTGAAGATGTGAGAATACTTGCTCTATTAGATATATGTTGTAGTATAAAGGTGTAATAATCAAGACATTGAGGTGTTGGAAATCTTAGTAAACTCACCACAAAATGAATGGATGGTTTATAATCGAAACATACGAAGATACAGTGACACATTAAAACAGAGGAGAAATAAATTGATTTAGTAATAAGTAAGTGCTGAGAAAAATGGATTTTTTATGTTTTCTTTCTTTTTTTTTTTTTTAATTTACGTGTAGAAGAACTGGTGAGTTGGCCAGAGGGGTGAGGGGTGAGACGATTCACCAGAGACAGAGTGGGGAGTAGCACAGGATATCTACTGAAATACACTGCAGGAAAGGAGAGCAGCAGATAGATAGGAGAGGTCTGCTGTGCCATGTGGATTAGCTCTCTTGCTGGGGATTGAACTCATGTCCCAGTGGCTGCTGATAGCTTGACAATGCTTATCTCACCAGGGAGCCCCAATAAATGGATGTTTTCATTAAAAAAAAGAGAAATTCAATTTGTGGAAAACCTAATTCTGAGGGATTCACTATAAAGATTTTGCTCTGAGGTACTCTGCAGTTGGAAAAGATATTTGTAACAATAATGCATATTGTATTGATGTATAGAGGACTCAATTTATTGAACAGAAATGATTGTATAGTATAATTGTATATGGCCAAGCCTTCATAGCTATGTACTGTGTACAGATGCGAGAGTGTCCATAACAGCATTATTTACAACAGTCGCAAATTGGAAATGTACCAAATGACTATCAGCAGTAGAATGGTCAAGTAATTATAGCATATTTCATGGTATTTCAAAAGATATATAGATAAAAATTCATGTTAGCTACATGCAATTACAGATTAATTTCAGAAACATTGAATAAAAAAAGTCAGAAAAGTAGATACAGCATTTTATAAACTTTAAAACAGGAAAAGGAATTATTTAGGGATAAATAGTCATATAGAGCTATAGTATAATTAACATAAAATTCTGGATAAGATGCTTGGAGGGGTAAGTTTAGGGAAAAGTGGGCACAGAAGCTCCCTGGTACCAGTGTTTTTTTTTTAAATTATATAAAGCAGTGTATTTATGGATATTAATTTTGTTATTCTTTACAATATTATCTTTAATAAGTATGGCAAATTTCACAAGAATTTTTTTCAAAAAAAAATAATCCTTTACCAGTGGAAAGTACTAAATACAACAAATATTTAATAACAACAAATATAGTACATGGAAATACACATTGCATTAAATTAGCATAGGGTAGGTAGATTACCCGCTGCCAGCACAACTGTTTGGTTTTTAAAGTCTTAGTTAAGTCAATACTGTAAAAAAAAATACTTTAAATTGTATATCAAAAGAAAAAGCACATTTTTATTTGCAGATAATGTGGCTCTATACTCCAAAGATTTCTTGAAATACCTTACTATTTGACTAATTTCATGTTAAATATACAAAAAAAATCAAAAACTTGTTTTCAAATTAGCAATCTCTAGTTAGCACTGGAAAGAACAGATTATGAATTCCTCTTAAAATAGTAGCAAAACTTATAAAATCCCTTGGAATAAATTTAATAAGTACAGGTTCCATGAACAATTACAGAGCATGAATTAAATGCAAATGATTAGGAAGACATTTTTCCTAAATGAAAATACTTAGTATTTAAAATGATTCTTCCCAATTAATGTCTAAATTATTTGTATTTCCATTTAGTTTTATTTAATTTTTTTTAACTAAACAATTTAATTTTAATGATAAATCCTTTTTCTTCTTAACCATGAAGCAGAATTAAGAGTAAAATTACTTCATGGAAATAATAATTTTCTAAAAGTAAAAGTAAAATATTCCCCTAAAGAGATTTTGTGTTGTATATTCAATTTACATGTATGTGTATGTATAATTTTGCACCATGTAATATTAAGTGAAACAGCAGTACTTTATTAATGATTATTAAGTATCATACTAATTAAAACAGCTTGGTACCAGAACATAAAAAAAAGGCACAAATCAATGGAATTGAGAGTCCAAATAAACCCACACCTCTATGAGCAGTTAATATATTAGTATGACAAAGAGCCAAAACATTCATTGGAGCGAGAAAAACCTCTTCAATAAATGGTGTTAGAAAAACTGGAGAGCCATATACAAAAGAATGAAACTAGACCTTATCTTAACATCATACAGCAAAATCAATTAAAAATGGATGAAAGAATTGAATATAGGACCTGAACCTAAAAAGTACACAAAAAAGGCAAAATATTTTATATAATAAGCTTCATTGATTTCTTTAGGGATTTATCTTTACAAGGAAGGAGAACAAACGAGAGTAATACAACCCTAAGCTGAACAAAAAAGTGCTTGAAAAACATAAAATGTTATAAACACCACCCTACTGAATGGGAAAAAATATTTGCACATTATACAGCTGACAAGGGATTGATATCCAAGATCTGAAAGGAACTCATGCAGCTCAACAAAAAAGAATATCAGAAGTGGGCAGAAAGCTAAGTAGGTATTTTTTTTTTTATAGAATACATACACATGGCAAGTAGACAAATGAAAAAAATGTTCATCACTTAATTATCAGGGAAATGTAAATCAATATTACAATGAGATGGCACCTCAAACCCATCTGGGAAAGACCAGAAGCAAGATGCAGGTGAGGATATGAGTAAAGGGAACCCTTCTGTACTGTTGGTGGGAATGCGAACTGATCCAGTACCTATGGAAAGCAGTATGGAGGCTTCTTAAAAGATTAAGATGGGGCCCTCCCTGGTGGCGCAGCGGGTTAAAGCACAGCACTGAGAATCTAAAGCCGCTTCCACATGAGTTCGATTCCCGCCTGCCCCGGAGGTGACCACATGGTGTGGCAGACCTCTCCTGACCCACCCGCTGCTCCCCTCAGCAGTGTACTTCATCCATCTGCCTGTTCTGTTCCCCACTCTGTCTCTGGTGAAGCCTCTCACCGCCCCTGAGCCTCTGGCCTGTACCCCAGTTCTGTATGCACAAATAAATAAATCTTTAAAAAAAAAAAAAAAGATTAAGATGGATCTGCCATATGACCCTGAAAGTCCACTCCTAGGCGCATTTACCTGAAAAATTCAGAAACTAATTAGAAAGGGAAACTGTGCTCCAATCATACTGCAGCACTGTTAAGCTATGGATACAGCTTTAGTGCCCTAAAACAGGTGAATGGATCAAGAGGATCTGGTATATATACACAATGAATATTACTCAGAGATTAAAAACAAAAACCTTCATTGTCATTTGCAAAAGCATGGATGGAGCTGGAAGAGATAATGCTAAGTAAAATAAGTCAGAAATGGAAAGATAAATACTGGGTGAAGTCACTTATATGGAATACAATGAAGTCATACTAAGGGCCAGGTAAAGGTAAGCTTAATAACTAACCCTGGAAAGCTGAATATAGAACAGATGTATCCGGAGGGAAGGAGCTTAAGGAGGGGTGAGAACAAAGAGGAAAGGGAGCACATAGGCTAAGATGGTGAACTATAGCTCATTTGCTGACAGGTGCACTACCTGAGGGAGGGGCGATCCTATAATTCCAAAATACTAACAATGATGTAAGCCTTGGCCAACCCTCAAACAAACCAAAACAAGAAAAGTGGTACACAACATAATGACTTTATATATATATATTGTGAAATGATCACCATAGTGAGTCTACTTAACCTCCATTTCTATACGTAGTTATGATTTTCTTGTATTTTAGATCTAGTTTTAGCAGCTTTCAAATATGCAATAATTATATTCCTATACTTATTTTATAACTGAAAGTTTGTACATTTTTTTCTTCACCTATATCACCTGCCCTACTCTTACCCCCACATCTTGGCAACGATTAATTTGTTCTCAAAGTCGGAGTCTAGTTTTGTTTTTTGTTCTTTAAAGACTCCACATATAAATGAGATCTTAGAATATTTGACTTCATTCATTTATTTATTTATAAATGTTACTGCAAATGGCAATATTTCCTTTTTTAAGGTTGAATAATACTCCATTGTATTTGCATGTTTTCTTTGCACATTTTCTTTATCCATTCACATCTTGGATGTCATAAATGCTGCAGTGAACATGGGGACGTTTCCTAGTCTTGGATGTCATAAATGCTGCAGTGAACATGGGGATGTTTCTTTTTAAACTAATGTTTTGTTTTCTTTGGGTAGAGATCCAGAAGTGGAATTGCAGGATCACATGGTATTTTTATATTTAAGTGTGTGGTATTTTTATATTTAAGTTTTTTTTTATTTAAAGGTTTATTTATTTATTCATACAGAACTGGGGCATAGGCCAGAGGTCCAAGGGCGGTGAGAGGATTCACTAGAGACAGAGTGGGGAGCAGAA